ATTTCTAACCTAACATTTCTAACCTCCAGGAACTCTAGAGCTCTCAGCCCCCAGCTAACACACACGTATGTTCGGCTTACATCTTCCCTTTAATGGTGTGGATGAGTTTTCCCAAGAGTTGCTTAAGCACCCCTCCAAAATCCGGCCTTATCCAATGCACAAGTACACATAACCGTCGATCTCACCGTCGGTGGCCTCGATGGCGTCGTCGGTGGGCTTCTGGAGAATTTTGTCATGTAGCCTCAGGAAAAGCTCGCCGTCGGCGGCGGCGATGGCGCCGGCGCGCCGTCGGCGTCCTAGTTCAAATCTTCACATTTTGGTTCTTTTCGCTCCAAATTCGCTACTTTTTGCATATTTTGCTCCATTGACCTTAATTTATCATTCCTGCAACAAAATATCAAAAATACATTTCTTTAAAGTGCAATATCATCAAAAACAGTATAAAATATGTATGAAAATTTCAACATATTTCTTCTCTGGTCATAGGTGTCTGTCATAAGTGCAAGAGAGAATATTATGTTCTAAATAAATGATGTAGAATTACATACAGGCATACAAAAAACACGAGTATAACATTGTGCTCGCTGTACATATTGTATTAGTTGTACTCAGTTCTATTTTGTGCGTGTTCGGATGTATCAGATTCTTCTTGTAATACTTTTTCTCAACGCAAGCTACGAAAATATGTCTAAAATGTTGGGTAGTGTGGAGACCCGGTCTACCGAAATTTAATTAGATTCCTAATTAAGAATCTCACATACCGCTCACCTACCTTCCCACCTACCACATCTCACATACTGCTCACATACCTCCCACCTAACGCTTTCTTGGTTTCTTTAAATAGCCTCTTATGGCTTCTCATAAGCCATGCCAAGGGCTAAGCCAAGCAAGGCCAAGCCAAGTCCTCTTGAGAGCTAAGAGAAAGAGAGGAAGAGAGAGAGAGAGAGAGGAAGGGAGAGAAGAAAATAGAGATTTTCTTGTAAACGTCGAGACGCTCGATTATGTAATTCCTCGAAGAAATAAAATCCTCTACAGCTCCATGGACGTAGGCTAATTTGTCGAACCACGTAAATCTGCGTTTTGCTCTGGTGTTTTTTTGTATAAAATTTTACTCGTTTCATTTTTCGCTTTATTGTCGTCATTTTTCACAACAACTGGTATCAGAGCTTGGGTTCAAATCTAAGGAAGAATGATAGACGGAGACGAAGTGATAACATCGGGGATCAAGAAGTTTAATAGCACGGATTATGCTTACTGGAGGATGCATATAGATGACTACCTCTATGGGAAGAGACTTCATCTTCCGTTGTTGGAAAGTGACCAGAAAAGATGGACGAGGCAGAATGGAATCTGTTGGATCGATAGGTTCTAGGGCTTATACAATTAACCCTGTCGAGATCGGTTGCCCACAATGTCACTAAGAAGAGGACTATTGCAGATCTCATAGTGGTTTTATTAGGTATGTATGAAAAGCCATCGACGAATAACAAGGTGCATCTGATGAAAAAGTTATTCAACTTGAAGATGACGGAAGATGTGTCTGTTGTTCAACACTTAAATGATTTCAACAGTATCACAAATTAGTTGTCGTCTGTTGAATTGATTTTAATGATGACATACATGCGCTGATATTGTTAGTTTCATTGTCAAATAGCTGGGAAGCCATGAGGATGGTAGTTAGTAGTTCTGCAGATAAATCTATGTTAAAATATGATGATATTTGTGATTTGATTTTGACTGAGAATGTGCGCAAGAAGGATTATAGTGAGGCATCGTGTTCAAGTTCAGCGTTGACTGTTGATTCCAGAGGGAGATCACATGACATGAACTCAAACAGAGGAAGATCAAAATAAAAATCTGGTCAGCAGGCAACCTACTGAAATTGTGGCAAAGCTAGCCACATAAAAGGAACTGCAAGAATCCTAAGAAGGAGAATGATGGTGTTAATGTTGTATTTGAAGAAATTTAGGATGCACTATTGTTGGCAGTTCACAGTTTTGTTGATGACTGGATACTGGATTCAAGGGCTTCCTTCCATACATCTTCTCATCGGGAGTTAATGTGAAATTATGTTGCAGGTAACTTTGGGAAGACATATTTGGCTGATGGAAAAGTTCTGGACGTGGTGGGGATGAGAGACGTTGATATTGCACTCCCTAACTAGAGCAAATGGACTTCGCAAAAGGTCAGACACATTCTTGAGTTGAAGAAAAACATTATCTCCGTTGGGCAGCTCAATAATAGTGGTCATTCGACAATGTTCTCAAATAGCACCTGAAAGGTTACCAAATGAGCATTAGTACTGGCTCGGGGTAAGAAAACTGACACACTATATATCACTATAGATTTACTCAGGTGTGGACACATGAGTCAGAGGTGCATTATGGGAAAGCAGAAGAAGGTCAATTTCTTGAGAAGTGGCAGAGCGCCAAAGAAAAGAAAATCGGACCTTGTACAGACAAATGGTGGAGAACCACAAAGCTATAAAGAAATCTTGCAAGATGAAAATTTGAGCAAGTGGGAGCTGACCAAGGAGGTGGAGACGGATTCTCTGCAGGGAATCAAACTTGGGAGCTGACAGAACTTGCACCAGGGAAGAAGACATTGCACAACAAGTGAGTGTACCAGGTGAAGACTGCGCTTGATGACAGTAAGAGGTACAAAGTTGGATTTGTTGAAAAGGGTGTTCGGTATGGGCAGGAAGTTGCTCATGCAGTGGGAGTTGTAAGCAGATACAAAAGTAACACAGGAAAGAGCTTGGTGGTACAAGACTACGTTGACAGTGATATGTCAACTGAGGATGTTACTCGTGAGAAGCTGAAGTTGTGCTCGACTTCAGCTGGTCTTCTGGCATGAAGACATGGGTTTTGAGTTGCAGAGGTGGAGGACATCATGTTTAAGGAAAAGGTCGGTACAACTAGTAGATGATGCAGTCAGTGTCCTAGTCTCCAAGTGGTAATGTGGAGGTAATGTGGAGACCCGGTCCATCGAAATTTAATTAATTTTCTATTAAGAATCTCACCTACCGCTCTCTTGGTTTCTATAAATAGTCTCTTATGGTTTGTCATAAGCCATGCTAAGGGCCAAGCCAAGCAAGGCCAAACCAAGTTCTCTTGAGAGCTAAGAGAAAGAGAGGAAGAGAGAGAGGAAGGGAGAGAATAAAATAGAAATTTTCTTGTAAACGTCGAGGCACTTGACGGTATAATTCCTCGAAGAAATAAAATCCTGTGCAGCTCCGTGAACGTAGGCAAATTTATCGAACTACGTAAATCTGTGCTTAAATATGTGTCATTATGGTGTTTTTCTGCATGCAAATTTACTCATTCCATTTTTCGCTTTATTGTCGTCGTTTTTCACAACATGAAACCCCAACCTATTAAGCATTTTGAGAAATCATTTTTTTGTGATAAAACTTATCATAACATAAATTTGAAAACCAAAACTCTTCTCTCAAAATGTGTTGCTCCCAAAAAATCCATAAATAAATTCATATGCATTAAACTCATTAAAGTTTTAACCATATAATCATGATATACATTTAAATTTTGAATAATTCAAATAATTAGTTAACATAAAAAAACCAGCTTATTACAATTTAAATAAAAAAAATTAACAAATAAATGCCAATTTGAATATTCCTATAACTCTATAGTAATTTGAACTTGAGTTCATTACTACAAAAGTCTGTCCACCATAAAAAAAAAATTAAATAAATAAATAAAAATAATAAAGTAATTAAAAAATTACAATATTATTTGAGCCCCTCTCCTAAGTATTACTTAATATAATTATAATTATTTATTTTTATTAAGCCGCCGTTAATCCGAGGATCAGTATGTTTCATTGTTGAGACTGTTCTGCACAGCATCCACGGTTCTGGAAATAAGCTCTGACCAATTCCTGCAACAAATATAAAATAAAGCTTCTTTAATCATTAAATATTACCTAAAATAATTTAAATATTAATTATTCAATTAAAAAAAACATAATTTTATGCATATGTTTATATGTTTATGATAATATATATAAACATTAAGTTGTAGGATTTAGATATATAAATTTATAAGAAATGTGTGATATTTATATTACTCCTATAATGTAAAGCCCAACTCACCCATTTTGGGAGTCAAATGTGATGCCGACGGTGCACCGCACCTGTCGAAGAGCCCTACTAAATCCCTCCAGCTTTTCTGGAGGAACATTCCCCTCAATTTCCACTATGTCGAGCTCGGATGGCTTAATGTTGTAAAAGATGGGGATGATCTTCTTCCCCGACTCGATCATCAGAGCCAACTCGTGCAAGCAGAAGAATGACTCGCAGTACCGCGGGGAGAGAATAACTATCCCGACCCTACATTTATCAATGGCCGACTCGATGCTATCATGCAACTTATCGCCGGGTCCCATCGACCTTTCGTCCAAAAAAGCCTTGATATCGAGCTGAACGAATCGATCGTACAGCAATCCCGCAATGTTCCGCTTGGTATCGACGCCTCTATGGTTGATGAACACGTCGCATGATGATCTGAGCGGTTTGCGACGGCCGTTGAGGATTCTGTTGAGTATGAAGTAAGCGATGGGAGGTCCGATGGCCATCTAATTTATGAATTGGTCTTTGCTTGTTAGTAGCATTTGAGCTGTATGTTGAGGGTTTTATAGGAAGTAAATTCTAGTCCTTGTTTGAATGAAAAAGATCTGGTTTTCAAAAAGTGGAGTTTGATGTTTGATTTTCAAATAGAATGAGGGGTAGGATTGCAATAGATTTTGATGTAAATTTTGATGTAAATTGATGTATATTTTCTGTGATGACTATTTCAAAGTATGAGAAGGAGCTTCTGAATCAGCAGCAGATTCCATTTCTGGAATATATATATATATATAGATATATATATATATATATATATATATATATATTGTAATTCATTTGACCAACCAGACCTTCAAAGACGGAAGGTATTACACAACTGCTGTGCAATAATTCTTTTATTTGTTTTGGGTTTTGTTTGTAATTTGTTATTTATGTTTTTGTGATTATTTTAAAACCGAGATCTGATCGGCTGATTCGACCCGTCTATAACTTCAACATTATTTTCTGAAGAGGACGGTAATCGTAGCTGTTGAATCTGAATTTGTCTGTGAATTAGACACAAGGAATAGAGTAAAATAAAAAGAGAGAGAGATGCACAGGGAATGAAGAGTAATTTTGGAGCTAAGTGTAATTTTTTGTTCATAGAATGGTCTCATATTTATAGGAAAAAGGGTACAATATGTGAATTTATATTTATGTCCCTCATTTAGTGGGGACTGTCCAGGATATTATAGGTAATTTACATATATGGACTAAGAGCCTAACTCATATAAGGGTCCGTTTGGGGCAGCTGCAACTTATTGAATGGTCTACTGATAAGCTGATTAAAAATAATTTGCTGATAAGCTATGTGTGGTGACAATTACAAATTTTTATTTTTTGGAAAAGCCAGACCGCTGCCAATAAACTAACTGCTGATAACCTAGGTGCGGTGTAAAATCGCTATTTTCTGCGTTTTGAAAACGAATAAACTGTCAAAACGCAGTTTGCCCAAACAGACCAGGTGCGTTTTCAAAACGCAACCGCACCAAATAAGCTGCCCCAAACGGGCCCTAAGTCTTGATTAATTACATTGGCGAGTTCTTGGTAAGCACTGTTTGTCGGCTAAGCTTGGTGAATTTTACCGGTTGGCTAAGCTAGCAGGGTCGGCCGATCCGCTAGGTCCGATAGAGATTGTCTGTCGGCTAGGTTTGATTTTGTCGGTTGATTGATCTTTTACTGGCAAAAGGTCGACAAGATTGACTCGTTGATCAAGTCTAGTTGCCGACCCTTGATTTAAAAATTATATTTATTTTAAAAAGTTTTATGTGAAAAATAAAATTAGGAAGCTTATTACAAATATACCTTCTCTTCTTTTATTTATTAATTCTCTTAAAGTCACTATTTACTAGTTTTTGTCCATCCGCGTATTGAAAGTATCGTTAATTGAAAAGGAAAAGAGCAATTAAATACTAATGTTTAAGCCTTTTTGGGTCATGCAGTCATGTGGTCGGTTCTGACTATGCTCACAATTGTGTTTGATTTAAATAATTAATAGATAATTTCATTCTTGGGAAATTTGCATGCATACCACATTATTTTTTATGTATTTATATACTTAACACCAAAGTTTAATATTTACATTTATAACATTTTTGTGTCATATATTTATAGGGTTGTAAAAGAGCCGAGCTTGAGCGAGCTCAGGCTTGGCTCGTGTTCGGCTCGTACGAAATAGCTCGTGTTCGAAATCGGCTCGTGTTCGAAATCGGCTTGTGAACAGTGTATTCGTGTTCGGTTCGATTAACATATTCGTGTTCGTGTTCAGCTCGTATTCGACTCAAAATTGGCTCGTTAAACTAAAATTGAGAAACATAGATGTAAAGTGTGGAACTCGAATCTGGATCAAATCTATACAAAAGAAGACACTAACCACATTGCCACATGAGTGTTATGATTTAAACTTAGATATAAGTATATATAATATATTATTATATAAATAATATATGTAATATATTGTTATACAAGAAGTTATATAAATTTTTTTTTTTCGAGCCATTTCGAGCCGAACACGAGCGAACAAACTGTTGTTCGTGTTCGGCTCGTTTAGATTTCAAGCTTAAAAATTTGTTCGTGTTCGGCTCGTTGGGCTTAACGAAGGAGCCGACAACGAGCTGCTTAAAGAGCCGAATAACGAAGGAGCCGAACACGAGCTGCTTAACGAGCCGAACACGAGTTGTTTACGAACAACGAGCCAAATTGACAACCTTATATATTTACAAGTGTGTGGTAATTATGTAAATGCTCTTTTATTTTTATTTAATGAGTTCTTAATTCTAACTAATACATTCCCCTAACAGAATTGGCTCAAGTTTATCAAATTAGACTTGCATGTTATTATTCTAATGGACCATTGGGTTATTATTCTAATAGACGCGCAAGAAAGCTATTTGGAACTTGTTAAGGTTTGAAATTCAAGAGGAGTCAGACATTCCTTCTAATATCACTGACCATTCAAACACTGAGATTTACAGGGTTTTGTATGATCTGAATGAATGAAAGGATAGGAAAATAATTACAATAAAACGCACACACGCGCGCACACACATACATAAGTATCAATACACAAACATATGTGTGTGTGTGTGTGTATACATACATACATACATATATGTGTATGTATGTTTATCTACATACATATATGTATGTATATACATACATGAATATACGTACATGCATAGACACATATTGACAAATTATACATAAAAAAAGATGTCAGTGTTGATCTCACTAGAATCCAACAATCCAAAGAAAAGAAACACGATAAGGAAAGACCCCCTATAAGTAGGTAGGGCTATCAAAACGGCTTGTTGTTCGCGAACATCTCATTAAGAAGCTCACGTTTGGCTCGTTCGCTAAGTTAACAAGCCAAATACGAACAAAGATTTATTTGTTCATATTCGACTCGTTTTGGCTCAAAATACTACTCATAAATTATAAGTAGTATTTTTAAAAAATTTAATCTCGATAAATTTTGAGCAAAGAATTATAATCAATTAAAAATATTAATTAAGAAAATAGAATAAAAATTCTTAAATTAGATTCAAATGATGCTTTAATATAAATAATAATTCTTAAATCTGAACGAACCCTTAACATCTTATGGCTACTTGATTATGGTTGTCAAAATGACCATTTGTTCGTGAACGACTCATGTTCGGCACGTTAAGCAAAAGAGCCGTCCACAAACACCTTTTGAGATCGAAGTATAAACGACTCGCTCGTGTTCGGCTCGTTTACACTCCTATAAGTAGGTTGTTAGACACTTTGAGTCGACCAGGCTAAGCTGACATAGCCATAAGATGATTGCAGGAAGGCTGATCGAAATCGACATATCGACTCATTCCTAAGCCTCATCAGAAGGATGTTCAATCCTTTAACCAAGACGAAGTTGATCCAATACAGAAGTCTATCCCATGTAGGAGTTGACCCGACAAAAGAGTCGACCCCACAAATATCTTCAACCCATCTTGAAAATCCCCCAAACAAACCAATAACAATACCTAACCAAAAAATGATGATACAAAAAATGATCACACAATAGATAAGGAATAAAAAAGTCGACTCTTCACCTGAATTAGGGAATATGACATACAAAAAATGACGATAATGATTTTATAGTAGTAGTTTGGATACTTCATCCATAATTGGATTACAAGAGTTATATTCGGTAGTTTTAATAACAATACCTAACCAAAAAGATTGTAGTTAGTGGTGATAATAACTGAAGTTAGTTGTGGCACTTGCTAGTGTTCAAAGACATAGTTGGTGGTGGTTCACATTGGTTGGCGGCCAACAATGACATCTAGTGGAGAATGATAATCTTTGGTGAATGACAACAAATTCTGGTGGTCGATCGTGATCGCGGGTAATCTTTAATCGCTAGGACTTTAAGAGTTAAACATTAGTATTCAGCTCACTTTTCACTTCTCCTCCATCCTCCAGCGAACAATGTGTGTTTATTTATAATTTTTGAGAGAAACATTTTGATAAATTTGTCCGATCGTCGAAAATAATTTTCGGACAATCCAGATTAATTCTCTTGCTTGTATTAGTTTTTTTTAATCTTTGACTGTCTGCCTTAATAACATCAAGAGTGAGTGATCTTAGGCTTGCTAGTTTTCTCTCAACTAGACACTCGATTTGACTTTAAAAATGTAAATTCTTAAGATCGTTTGACCTTTCTATTGATACACCAAAATCTTTAATTGTTTGATCTACACTGATTTGAATTTGAACTAGATCACTTTCAGTGTCAACGGATTCGTCTAGTCGAGACACTTTGTTTGACTATAAATTTGATGAAATCGAAGTTCAGATGATCTTCAGTTTGAACTTCAAAATTTCTTGCTCAAAATCTACTAAGATTCACATCCAATGAAAAAAAATATATTGATGGCACATCACCACTTAATTTCTGTGCATTTACATATTGACTCCTAAACTTCAATTTTTACATATATGCAATTCTTAGCTATGAACAAAAAAAGGTGTATTTTATAATTTAAAAGTTAAAATAGTGATAGTTTTTTATGTGACATCTTATGAAAGATTTGAGTGATATAAATATAGAACTTTAAAGTTTTGTTGTTAAATATGTAAATACATCGAAATTGCGTGGTATTTGCGTAAATGCACAGAAAGCAATAACATTGCATCAAAATTAAAATATGTACACTAACAATAAAAAAAATCACGTTAAACTCACCCTTAGGTTTTTGGGGCAGCGGTGCGGTGGTGCCGCTATGACTTTGCTCCGTAATTTTGTCGGTTTGGGTAAACTGTATTTTGAGAGTTTTTTTTCAAAAGTTGCCGCTGAAATCTGAATGTTCTCATCATTCTTGGTCATTTGCGGTGGCAGCTTTCTAACCGCGATCTAACATTAAAAAATATATATATAATAGTCACCACAGCTTTTTGAATATTAGATTATTATTCAACAGTTTCACAATTATTTTTTAATAAGATGTAGTTGTCTCAAACAGATCCTCAGTCTCACCAAACACCAAACTGGCTTCACCCATTTACTAGAGTCAAATAGCTTGCTTTGGGCATTTACATATACATCACACAATTCTTATGAATTTATATATCGAACACCAACATTTTTGTATTTACAGACATAGCACTCAAAATTTTTAACATTACTGAAATTATTATTATAATAATACAAATTTTCATGAATAAATTTATAGCACTAATTTTATGATGAGAAATGTTATTCTCTTAAGTGTTAGATATGTAAATATATAGGAATTTTGTCCATGTATGTAAACTTCCCAAAATGCTTTTCTAAGAAACGGTCCAGCTAGCATAGTGGGCCAAGATACATTGGGCCTTATAATGAATAGGTTAAATGGACTTTGCTCAAATGTCTTGGTTGGGCTCTTTAGAAAGTGAGGAGGGAATGGACAAACCTCTGTGGGCTGTTGTTGTCTGCGGCTCCAAATTAACTACTTCATGATTTTACACTTTCAAATTGTGAGGAAGATTTTCTTGCATTCCTCTAAATTCATATGTTTTTACATAAGCTTTAATTTTTACATGTATATATCACTTTTACAATTTGCTTAAAATATATATATTTCATTATATATATATAT